AAAAAGAAGGCGGAATTGGTTAAGTCACTCCATGAAAATGTAAAAACGCAAATTGAAAACAAAAGTAAGTTGGTTGCGTCGCAGGTAAACAAAGGTAGGAAGCACATGACATTCGAGTCAGGAGATTGTGTTTGGGTGCACCTTAGGAAGGAGCAGTTTCCGGAGTAAAGGAAGTCCAAATTGCAACCGAGGGGTGATGTACCATTTCAAGTTATTGAAAAGATAAACGATAATACATACAAGTTGGACCTTTCAGGTGAGTATAATGTTTCGGCTACTTTTAATGTATCTGATCTCTCTCTGTTTGATGTAGGTTTAGATTCGAGGACGAATCCTTTTGAAGAGGGAGGGGATGATATGATCCATGAGTCGAGCCCGACGAAGGCAAGTGCGAGACGAGACCCGTTGATAGTCGATGGCGGTCCAATGACGCAATCAAAGGCAAAGCAAGTGAAATAAGTAATGAGATTGCTTGTTCAAGAAACCATTGATGGAACCATGTTCGGGACTCAAAATGGAGCAACTTTCATGTTCGGGTCGAAAACCGAATAACTTGGATCAATTTAATATCGAAGGCCGTAGACGGAGGAAATTAAGCCTATGCGACCGCATAGGCTTATCAGGCTTGCGACCACATGGAGGCATACCGAAACTCAAGATGTGATTTTTGGTTGAACCATGCGACCACATGGAAATACACTATGCGATCACATAGTTCTTTTTTTGGCGAAATTCTTAATTTTGGCAATTTTTCATATTTTCTTGGTTTTTGATTTTTTTTCCATATTTTGGGGATTATGATCGACTTTTGCATGATTTTACCTAGTTTTTAGGTTTAGTATAAATAGGAGTTTCCATTCAATCGTAAAAAACTTTTGAAATTATTGATATTGAATTAAAGAGAGGCGTATTGTCTTATCTTCATCGTTCTTCATTGAACAATTTCAAACTTATCAAGTGTTAACTTGTAGCGTTCAAACAACCGAATTTAATTCTTGAATTGCATGATCAAGGGGTCTTTCAAGCGTCGTTCTTGTTGGATTTTTTTGGTTCCACTTTCTTTTGGGTTAATCCTAAACTCTTGGATTAATTCGGCTTTCTTGGGTTCGTCAATCTCATTGTGGGTTTCGTAGTCAACGTTGCTACGGGGTTCGCATCAGTAAGGCAACAACAGTTGTTAAAGGCAGAAAGAAACTTTCTGATGTCTGGCTTATGGTTTCAGGAGCTACATGGCACATGACACCAATAAGGGAATTGTTTCATCAATATGAGACTATCACAGGAGTATCTGTGTTTATGGGAAATGATCATGCCTTGGAGATCGTTGGTATTGGTACCATCAAATTAAAAATGTATGATGGTACAGTTCGCACTATCCAGGAGGTACGACACGTAAAAGGTCTAAAGAAAATTTTATTGTCTCTAGGACAATTGGACAGCATTGGATGTAAGACCCATATACAAGATGAGATCATGAAAATAGATAAAGGCGCGCTTGTGGTGATGAAAGCGGAAAAGATAGCTGCAAATTTGTACATGCTTAAAGGAGAGACACTACAAGAAGGAGAAGCATCTGTCGCATCGACGGGTTCAGCAGAAGCATTAACGATGATGTGGCATCGCAAGCTTGCTCACATGTCGGAGCGTGGTTTGAAAATTCTCTTAGAACAAAAGCTTCTTCCAGGGCTCAAAAATGTTTCATTACCCTTTTGTGAGCATTGTGTTACTAGTAAGCAGCATAATTGAAGTTCAGCAGTTCCACTGCTAGAAGTAAAGCTATCTTGGAGCTGATCCATTCCGATGTTTGGCAAGCACCGGTTATATCCCTAGGAGGTGCAAGATACTTTGTATCTTTTATTGATGATTACTCTAGGAGATGTTGGGTGTATCCAATCAAAAGAAAGGCAAACGTGTTCGCAGTCTTCAAAATATTCAAAGCGCGTGTGGAGCTTGAATCTGAAAAGAAGATTAAGTGTTTGAGGACTAACAATGGAGGAGAATATACTGGTGATGAATTTGATAACTTCTGTCAACAAGAAGGTTTCAAGAGACTGTTCACTGTGGCATACACTCCACAACAAAATGGTGTGGCAGAGCGGATGAACAGAACATTGTTAGAAAGAATAAGGGCAACGTTGAGAACTGCAGGGCTAGCCAAGTCATTTTGGGCAGAAGCAGTTAAAATCGCCTGTTATGTGATCAATCGGTCGCCATCAACCACAATTGATATGAAGACGCCTATGAAAATGTGGACTGGTAAACCAGCTGATTATTCTCACTTACATGTGTTTGGAAGTTCTGTGTACGTTATGTACAACACCCAAGAAACATCAAAGCTAGATCCAAAATCCAGAAAATGTATTTTCTTAGGGTGTGCTGATGGAGTGAAGGGATACCGCCTGTGGGATCCCACTGCCCACAAGGTGATAATCAGCAGAGATGTCATATTTGCAGAAGGCAAAATGCAGGAAAAAGAAAATGATAGCACTTCAAAAGAAAAACCAAAGACTACTACAGTCGAAGTTGGAGACGAACGAGAAGTTATAGATACTTCTGAAGCAATGCTAGAGCACGAAGAACAAGCTGAATCTAGTGCTCCAGATGTTCGACGATCAACACGGGAGAGAAGAGAACCGGCTTGGCACTTAGATTACATTATGGAGGGCAATGTTGTATATTGCTTACTAACAGAAGATGGAGAGCCATCAACTTTCCACGAGGCTATAAATAGCCAAGAAGTTTCTCAGTGGATGGCTGCAATGTAAGAAGAGATTAAAGCTCTTCATAAGAACAAGACATGGAATCTTGTTCCACTACCACAAGGAAGGAATGCCATTGGGAATAAATGGGTATATAAGATCAAACGAGATGGCAATGATCAAGTGGAGCGGTATCGTGCAAGACTGGTGGTGAAAGGATATGCTCAGAAAGAAGGCATTGACTTCAACGAAATATTTTCTCCTGTGGTTCAACTCACAACAGTTCGAGTAGTCCTGGCGATGTGTGCTACATTTGACTTACACCTGGAGCAGTTAGATGTGAAAGCTGCATTTCTTCATGGAGAACTTGAAGAAGAAATTTATATGCTCCAACCAAAAGGTTTTGAAGAAAAAGAAAAATAAAACTTGGTTTACAGGTTGAATAAATCTCTGTACGGTCTCAAACAGGCGCCGAGATGTTGGTATAAGAGATTTGATTCCTTCATCATGAGCCTTGGATACAACAGACTCTATTCAGATCCATGTGCATACTACATGAGATTTGGTGATAATGATTTCATTATCTCGCTGTTGTATGTTGACAACATGTTGGTAGCAGGCCCCAACAAAGATTGTATTGAAAATCTGAAGGCTCAATTGGCTAGGGAGTTTGATATGAATGATTTGGGACCGGCAAACAAGATTCTAGGGATACAAATTTACCGAGATAGAAATAATAGAAAGATTTGGCTTGGTCAGAAAAACTACTTGAAGAAAATCTTGCGTCGCTTCAATATGCAAGATTGTAAGCCAATTTCTACCCCTCTTCCTATTAGTTTCAAGTTATCCTCAACTATGAGCCCTAGCAGCGAAGCAGAGAGGATGGAGATGTCTCGAGTGCCGTATGCATCAGCAGTGGGTAGTTTGATGTTTGCTATGATCTGTACAAGACCAGACATTGCACAAGCAGTGGGAGCGATTAGTCGATACATGGTAAATCCTGGTAAAGAGCATTGGAATACTGTAAAAAGGATCCTGAGATATGTCAAGGGTATCTCAAATGCTACATTATGTTATGGAGGATCAGATTTTATTGTCAGGGGCTATGTTGATTCAGATTATGCAGGTGATCTTGATAAAAACAAGTCCACCACAGGATATGTGTTTACTTTTGCTGAAGGAGCTGTAAGGTGGGTTTCGAAACTGCAGTCTATCGTGACTACTTCCACAACGGAGGCAGAATATGTGGCAGCTACACAAGCTAGCAAAGAGGCAATTTGGTTGCAAATGTTAATGGACGAACTCGAACACAAACAAGAGAAGATTGCTCTATTTTGTGATAGTTAGAGCGCTTTGCTTTTGGCAAAGAATCCAGCATTTCATCATAGGACAAAGCATATTCGAGTTCAATATCACTTTGTTCGAGAAAATGTGGAGGAAGGAAGTGTGGATATACAGAAAATCCATACAGCGGAAAACCTAGCTGATATGTTGACAAAGCCAATCGGAACTGATAAGTTTATATGGTGTCGATCTTCCATTGGCCTTGCAGAAACGTAAGTAGCATGGAAATGACAAGTATGGGAAGGATGAAGTGGTAAAAAAAAAAGTGACTTTAAGGGGGAGAAATGTTGAAAATAAAGTCACATTTTTAGACCATAAAACATTACTTAACAAGTAAGAAAAATACATACATGCATGCAAGTGGTGGTGGTGGCAAAATTGAAGTTTCCAACTAATGATAGCCACATTTTTTTGATCAAATGGATAAGATTGTTGATTTCTTAATTATTAAGAAAGACTCCATGCACACATAAAAGGGAGGTTGAGAAATTCAAGTTTTCTTTCACCATTTACTTGACAAGCCAAATGTGTAGAGAATTCTAGCAAATAAAGGTGGTAGAACTTTGACTCTTTTAAGCAATTATGGAGGTTAAAAATCTCTATAAATATGGGCAAGAGTTTGAGAGAAAATTGATTGCCATATGGAGAGGAAAAATTGATTGCCATATTGAGAAAATTGTAAGGTAGAGAGAAGAGAAGAGAAGAGAAGAGAGAAAATTTATTGTTTTTCTCCTAAATTTTTTTCCTACTTATTTTCTCCTAATTACAAGAGAGATTGATTGTTGTTATCTCATTGTATTTAGAGAGTGTGTTGTAATTCCCCTACTTTAGTGAAATCCTTCTATATTTGCCCGTGGACGTAGTCTAAATTGGATGAACCACGTAAATATCTGTATCCATTTTTAATTGTATTTTTTCAATTTCATTATTTATCAATCAAATTCGACCCACGCGTTTTCTCCCTAGCATACACTGTGTGTACAGAAGAAGAGGAGGGCTTCAGAAGCCCTCTAGATTACACACAAACATGCCAGAGTCCTTTCTGTAGAAATGGATTTTTTCCAAAAAGAAAAAGGGACTGGATTCGTGCTGCCTAAAATCCACAAGTAAAATCTTTTTCCCCTAAAAGTTAAAATCCCAATATTCAATTGAATTCCAGTTTCAGTTCATTCTCTCTTCATAAAAAATGTTACAAATCACTTACAAGTCAACAACCCCACTACTCATAAATAGGTAAAAAATAATTTCACTTTTTCTTGTTTTAATTTCCGAAAGTAAATCGTTTTGTATGTTTCAATTGATTGTAATTCTTGTCGAAGAAAATGGTGGTTTTATTTTTATCTTGGTGGGTTTCTTTTGAAATTTTATTGTTGATAGGTCATGATTTTATTTTATATTTTAAAATTCAACAGGAGAGGTGTAGAGATGCAGCAACCGGGACAGATGTTCCCAGTTATGTCTTCATTTCCACCTGCTAGTATTACTACCGAGCAGATTCAGAAGATATTCGTGTTTTGGTTTATTTATTTCTTCAAATTGACGAAAAATTTTGATATTTGCTTTATTGGAATATGTTTGTGAGTAATAATGCTAGTCTGATTATCATTTTTCCCCCTTTCTGTATGGTGATTAACTTGGTTATTAGTTATCTGGCCTATGTATCGTAAATCTTCGCTGAATAATGATTCAGCCAAGTAAATAGTGGAATTACTACTTCAAGGTGTATAGAAGTAACCATGGTTTAAATTTTAGTTGAAAATGCAAAGTATGTGGACGTAGACATAATCAGAATTGCACCTTTGTTTCGTTTAGGATGAATATAGATTTATGTACTTGAATGAATCTTTGCTTGGTCACCTCTAACTGTGTACAGTTGCTTATAAGCTTTACCTGTCAAAATTATTCCAAGATGATGTAGGTTCCATTTAACTAATCGTCCACAAATTCATATCTAAATTGCATTGAAGAACTTACCTTCCTTTTTGTGCACAAAAAAATCCAAGCGATGATTGTAAATTGCATAATCACAATGATACTCCCAAATCTTTATGTTATGTCCAGCTAACTATACAAATGTGTGTGCACATTTAGTAACTCATCGATCAATTCATTTCTGAAATTCACAGTGAATAATTTGCCTTTCTGTTTACACTCAATGAATCAGAGTCTGCAATGATAGCGAACTGCATTGCAACTTCTTGTCAGTATATACTGCAAACAATAAATATATTTTTCCTAGACTGGTGATCGAACTACTTCCTGTATGATGACCTTCTACATGAGACAAATTATCATTGCTGGCTACTTGATTTGTGGCAGTTTGCTCAACTAATCTTGCTCATTTTACCTTAGTTTCAGTTGTGGTATTTATCACTTGAAAAAGTTTTGGTTCACTGTAATCCTTTTTGATATGTGGGTTCACTTTATACATCAATTTACTACAGCTCTGAGACTTACGAGAACTATAAAATTGAATTGGAATATCAATGACGCTCAGTTACCTTAAGAAGACTTCACATTACGAGGGCTGTTGTTGAATGGAATTAGTTACTTCATTATGCTAAAGAGGCTTGCATGCATGTTTTTGCCTGACCTTATGAACTATTGTTTGTCCTCAAGTAAGATAGTGACTTAACTCTATATAAAACATGACTTTGACAACCTGTCGTGTCTCAGGATTGGAATTCAGTAATTAACATGAGAAACAATTTCAATAGTGCAAAAATAAAATGAACCTTCACCTGTAAATGCATAACTTAACGTGTGTGTATGAACTCATATAAACATGTCAAGCTCATGATTGGTTTACTCCAGGCCCATAGTGGTCAAATATATCCTCTCTTCGCTTTAGAGATACACACCTCCCAAATTTATTCTTTTCACTCAATTATCCCTGTGTATGTTTTAAAATTAGGAGTTTAAATAACTGCAGTCCTTTTCCTCTCTTAGCTCGGATAGGTTTCACTCTTATAAGTTCACGTCACCAAGTATAGGCTCTCCTATTTTGATTGCTTCAACCCTTAAGATTAAATTAAGTTACTTGACTCGCATCAAATGTGTAGTTTCATCAACTAGATGTCCAAGGGCTTTCTTCATTATGTTATTGCGTCTTTTATTCACTTTGTTTCTGCTTTTTTTTTTTTTATTGTCATTTTCTTATTTACTTTCTATATAACCCTTATCACGAGTTTTAGGCCGATGACTTTCAAACCAGTTGCCTTTAGGGCACCAAGTTTTAAACCCCTGCAGGTTTATTCACTTGAACTATAAGGGCTCGATAAGATAACTTTTTATTAACTTCTCCCCTTTTTGCTTTCTATATGATCTCTGTAGCGAGCTAGGTCGGTGACTCCAAAATTAGTTGGCTTAAGGGCACTAGGTTTCAAAATACCCACACAGGCTTACTTCTTTGAGTCATAAAGGCTTTGAGAGATGTAACGCCCCAATTTTCGTCAAAGACCAGAACGTTATGAAAAACTCATTTTTCTTTATCCTAAATGCGGAACTATAAAAATAAAATTCTTTATTAAACAAATAACTGCAACATTTATAAATCTAAATTTAAATTGTGAAAATCATATCTAAACATAAGCATAAACTTTTAGCTAATTCAAATAACACATTCTGAATAAATTAAACTAACTGGTAAATTTAAAACGATAAACTTATTTCTTTTTCTCTATTCTTTATTCACTTGGCAGCCTCATCACCAAATCGCCACTGTTTCAATCGACCCAAACTAACCTGTAAAATTAATGTAAGAGTGAGTATTAAAAATACCCAGTAAGATACGTGTAATTTTCATACACAATTATATAACAAATAAATTATATACTTCATACCGCTCTTCTCTATGGAGTATATCGGTGACCAAGAGACACACCCATCTTAAGTCCTCTTAAATTCTCATAGAAATATCATCTCTTTCTCTAGAACCCGAATGTTCATTAGTAATCCATGCATATTAATTGTATATAAGAGCATAAGGAAACTTAAAACAATTTGCACATAAATTTATCTTAACTCGTTAGAATTGATTGACAATCATTATCTATCCTTTTTCAATATTAAATATTAAAATTGATTGACAATCATTATCTACCTTTTTTCAATTTGACTTCGTATTAGAAATCTTGTCTACCCTATTATATAATAGTAACATTGAATAGTACATAGATATTTTAGCAGGACTAATTTAAGCATTTAAATAATTTAATGGTATATAAAATTACGATTATTAATAATTAGCTTAAATTATAATAATTAGACGTCATTAGCCTAGAATAAAGATTTCCGCACTTTGATTATTTAAATTGTTTGTTTGCATAAGCATGATTATCTTAAATTTGAAAAAGGTTTAATCACATTCAAATAATCAGATTTTTATAAAACGAGATTTAATAAATTGATATTGGACTTGTTGGATAGATCATATTAAATCATGTACTTTAGGCTCAAGAAAAAAATAATTCGGATAAGTTATATCTGAGATATTTATGTTTAAAGAAATGTCTATTTAATAGTATTTTACTTAAATGGGATTTTGGCATTTGAGCCGCCCATGGTCCACGGGTGAAGGTGGATAATTATTATTTATTTTAAAAGTATATCCCAAATATTTAAGCCTAGTTTTATATATGAAATGATTGGTTGGTTGATTTAAAACTTATCCGAGTCAAGGTCTACTTTTGAAACTAATTTTAAAACTATTTAGCAGAAAGTTCACGTGCTAGCCTTAATCCAAATTGATAAGTTTGACTTGATAGTTGTACTTTATCTACATGTTATATCATGAAAAAAAAATTGTATGGGACACGTGTAGTAGGTATGGGTTTCTTGGATTGAATAAGATAATATTATAGTACAATATGATTAGACCTTTAATTGCTTCTCACAAGATTTTGACTTATCATGTATTCTAGATAAATTCAATCAGCATGTACGTATTCCAATTTCCATAGGAAACCTACCCTATAAATACCTCACCACGTTCAAAAGGTATTAACCACACAAATTTCATATATTATATACGGCAGAGAGATAATCAGAGAGAGAAAGAAAAATACAGGCTCACTGCCCGACAGAAAAGCAACCTGGAGAGAGGGGAAGAGAGAGGGAAGTATTAGAAATAAAGTTGTCATATAGCAAATATTTTAATCACGTGTTTTTCAAAGTGGAGAAAGGATTTTGAACATGCATTCAGATTTTTCTAAGGAGGTAAGATAGATTTATGTGCAAAGTGTTTTAAGTTTCCTTATGCTCTTATATACAATTAATATGCATGGATTGCTAGTGGACCTTTGAGTTCTAGAGAAAGAGATATGCAATTTCTACGGGAATTTAAGAGGACTTAAGATGGGTGTGTCGCTTGGTCACCGATATACTTCATAAAAGAAGAGCGGTATGAAGTGTATAATTTATTTGTTATGTAATTGTGTATGGAAATTGCACGTA